TTGAGTATGTACTTCTCTGAGGAAAAAATCTAGCTGCAGTTCATAATGGGATATTACTGCAAAGTGAATGTAAGCATATATCCTGAAGAATTTATTACATCTGTCAATATAATAGCAGTAATGGCAGTACGATATCTGTCATCTCTACTCACTGTACTAACTAAATTACCTGATTTTTTTCTTTTCTTTTTACAGGGCTTGTGGATCAATGGGATCTTTGTGAATGTATTGTTACATACACTTCTTGTAAATACATGAATGTAAATCTAATGTGGTCTGTCCGTATTTTGTATTTAACAGATGTTTGAATTTCTCAAGCCCAGGGATTGCTCTTAGTTTCACCAAGGCCATAACACAGGAAACATTTCAAGTCTCCTTTGCTTAAAGTTGCCTTTGCTTCTCTCCCACTCAGCATTTCCTGCTGCAGAAATGGTAAAAGTAGGACAATGAAACTATTTTCTTGGATTCTTTTAAAGCAACTGCTGAATACATTTTTATATAGCTGCAGCCATGAATCCTTCCCACACCCAATTAATATAGTGTTGATGGCACTTTAAAAGGTATTTCATTTATCAATGACTTAACCATGTGTAGTTCACTTGGTTTACAAAGAAAACTTAAGAAGGAAAGATTGGCAGATGAAAAATCCCAGCTATGTGGTGTTTAGTATAATAAGGCAGATCTTGACTTGTCAATTAATTACTATACAAATGAAACAACCACTCAGAAAGGAGAAATAGTGTATCAGAAATTGATTTATGATATATGCAGACCTTTGGTGTGTGGTTCAAAGAGCTTGGCTGAATATGCTGTGGAAAAGTCCAGCTATAAGATAACAACAATGCTTGTTTGTTAATGCTTCAAAAAAGTATTGTTTTTACCTTTACTGTTAAAAACAAGTGAATCTAGATCGAATCCCCATTTTACTTCAAAGTCACTCCATGAGGAAAGGAAATCACAGTGCAGGAAAATAATATAATTTCTATACTTTTAATAACTTTCTAACTATTTAAAGTTAGAAAATATTCTTACTTTCGGTTATTCTACAGTCAGCTTATAAATACTGCCTTTCTCATCACCCATAGAGAACTATTAATCACGTTCAGAAACACAAACATAAACAAAGCATGAACAAATTATCACAAGACACAAGTTATTTGAACTGATCTTTGACAGTCGGCCAGGGCAAGGCACTGAGTCTGTGTAAGCAAGGTATTATGAGGGAATTTAGCTCTCAGTGAAGGAAGTGGTGGTACTGCACCGTTGCAGCAGACTGAGAATGTGCAAGCAGATAATTATTGCAGAGCAGCTGATGAACAGTAACTGCTGATCTGCCACAACTTGCTCAGGTGTCAGGAATGGTACAGGGACTGCTGCGTTTACCTGCCAGCGAAGGTGTGTACTATGTGACTTCTTAAAATCTCTCCTAGTCCGTTAATTCTGTGCACCATAACAGTGGGAAGCTAATTTTTGGTTATACCTGAACATGGCAGAAATTGAAGCATGATTGTTTGGTGCCCTAATCTGTTTAAAGCAAACGTGCCTGCATATTTAGTTTATTTAGATTTTCATGCATATCGTAGAACACGCTAATTGTGTACCTCTCAACCATATTTTTAGAATTTGTTGGCTTTATCATCCCTCCCTTTTCTTACTCATTACGTTTTATTCAGAGCCTAAGCTTTCTGCCACAGTGACCATGGATACCTATATGCGTGCACTAAATTTGGACTCTGGCAATGATCTGGACAGTAATACAGATGATGAATACTAATAGATTAAATCATGAAAAATGTGTTCTTTAAAGGGTTATATACATTTTATTGCAAGTGATTCACTTTCAATAGCAAATTAGCTACACACAAAGCTAATAGCAATTAATATCATGTATTAGTTGCAAAAAAGAGCTATATGAATTTAGTTACCTGTAAAACTAATGTAAATTATCATTATTTTAAGTTTAAAGTTTCCCTCATTTGTAATCATTCTCTTTATACTTGCTAAACATTAAACAATAAGGAGATTATATTGCATAGGGTTTCCATTCTTATAGTTGAAAGACTGCTAAAATGTGTGATGGTTTTAAGGCTTTTTCTCCAGAAAGCTCTGCAGTACTCTTCAGTGAGTCTTGCATCAACAGATGGGTACACAGTGACAGAGCTGACTAAATGAGTACTACCGTTGCAGCAATGCAGTCTAATAGGAAATTTAGCTCAGTTGTGAATGATGTGTGAGTAAATGAGTTACTGTCCTCTGTTTTAAGAAAACTTGCTTTCTGCAGTCAGGTTTTGATGACTTCATACACCTTTGTACTTCTGCAAAAGGGCTGAGCCTTAAGAGACTAGCTCCTGAAGTGCAGTAGCTGTGCCTGGTATTGTTGATAGGTATTAATGTTGCAAACACAGAGGAATTCTGGCCAGAGTATCAGGGATAGTTTGCCTCTTTTCCACTAGAGAAAGCTTTAGAGTGACTTTGCGCTGTACTAATGCAAACCAGCTAGAATAATATCAAGAATTGAAGTAGTTTACCCTATAAATAATGCTATATTTGTCCTTGTGGGGGAAAAAAAAAAAGCAGAGAGTAGGTGATTGTTTTCTAGTTCATCCTAGTTTGTGTCTCTCCAGCAAACTTTCAACAATACTCCTGTTATTCCTAAAGTATAAATCTAGAAGCAAGCTCACTTGTTCATTACCTTGATCTCTAGAGAGTTTGAACGTTCCTCGCCTGATGAATGACCCGCTCAATTAGTGTGTACGCATGCACACGTATTTGTCTCTCCTGTTCACTGTGGAAAAAATGATTTCTGTGAAAGGATCTCTTGTGCTATTTTTCATATGTTAGCAAAGGCTGCACATTTGAATAATTCAGTGACCTCAGCAAGGGGTAAGTGCAGTTCACTTACTGACACGTTACTTTCAAATTAATAATCAAATTGAAAGGAAAATATCACATATCGCAGCTTAAAACAGTGGACAGTTTTCTGGAAAAAAGGTTAAAAGCTTTCCTGAGAAAGTTCAAAGTAGGACCGAAACACTTTCTCTTTAAAAAAAGATATATATACATTTATATTTATATTTTTATATATATATTTGTTGTTCATTGAAAGTATAGTGATCTGTGAATGTCTAATATAATAAACATTATTTCAGATATATGAGGATCTACACTGTTGCATTATAATATTGCATCCGAATTGAAAAATCGAATCACTCAAAAAAAATTACCTCTCTAAGCCATTTTAGAAGCTTTGTTTTTGGCCACGTCCACCTGCAGTTTCCTTGTGCTGTGTAATGCAGCTTATGTTAATAATGATTTGGCAGGAGATTAATGAAGTATGTGATTACCTGTTTAGAAATGACTGACGAAGCTAAAGTAAAGTAGGAGAGGAGAAAGAAAAAGGGAAGAATTGGGCTGATGTAAGAGCATAATTGAACAGAATGGTTAGTGACAGGGGGAGGCTGGTCAGTGACACAGTTTTGGGATAATATAGCAGGATAACGCTATACAAGATCCTGATCTGCCAAAAGCTATCTGTGTATAGTGAAATATGTGAATTCATTGCTGGATCATTTGAGAAAGACTCTGAAACTCCATAAAGGACTTTTTTTCTTCCTCCTCTGAGTTTTTGATTTGGAAGAGGGAAGAAGAGAACTTAAGTCTTCGTGATTTAGAGCAGGAACTTGAAATGTCACTCTGGGTGCCCCTTTTGTGACCGAAGTGAGAATTTACCATCCTCAACAAAACCTCCCTGAATTTAGCCAAGACATAAGCCTCTGAGGAACAGTACTTTCTGTTCATTAGGCACTTCCTTGTTTTTAAGCTGCCAAATGTTTAAAGATTCTCCTGTCAGTCAGCACACTTGGATATCAGGGCATGCACGGCTGACCAGATTGCAGCGGGGAGGGGTGCAGTACATTGGAATAGAAGAACAGAAAGAAGGGACTTCCTGTTTTCTATAAAGAGTATGTGATCAATATAATTATTATATATACAGAGAAAGACAGAGATATTTATATACAGATAAAACTTTATGTATATATATATAGTGTGTGTGTATGTATATACAGGCAGTGTACCAATACCAAAGTAGTATGCAGTTCTAAATATATGTGATAAAAAAGGATATCAAACTCCTATATTTAATTTGTGCTGTCTCATGGCTAGAATATTCTGTACTGGCACTTGCAACAATTGAAAAGGGAGTCCGATTGTAAAACAGTGTAGTAAAAAAATACATTTTAGGTCTTTTGCCTGCTAATGCTTCAACCTAAATCTGATGGTATTTTCAGAGTGCTCCTTGCAATCACAAGGTTTAGAAATATATTCATAAAATTAGATATTCTCACTGAAGTGGATGAACACATGCTATTGTGTTTCTTGTATTAAAACATGAGATTTGGCAACAATAAAGACTGAGAATCACCAGGAAATAATGTATTCCAAGTAACACTGAACAAAACCTGCAAGTGTTAATACTGAAAGAAATACAGAAGATAACTCGTATGTTTTGAATGGGAAGCAACAGAAATTACAACTGCATGAAATCTTGATTGTTTCTTATAAGCAGTCTGAAGATACAAGAAAGAAACTATTAATCTCTGCTGACTTTAATCCCTTGACAGAAATAATGCCTGCCTTCCTCTCTTTTTTCAATTTTTCTAACTGCAAAGTGGAAAAGGCTAAGTGGAAAAGGAGTGACAGGATAAACCTTTTTAAAATATGGAAGCACTTCTATAAATTAATGTAGTCATTATTCAGGCAATATGTTGCTTGTGCAGTAAGTTATCAGCATACACATAATAGGTGTTTGATTGCAAAGTTTGCTACATTGTAGTTGTAGCCTAGCTGTGACAGCTTTTTTAACTGTTGTTTTTCTTATTTTTTATGTTGTATACTTGATTTATTTAAGCAGGTACATTTCCTCCATAATATTTGCAACAGTCAAATACAGTTATCATAATATAGTTATTGTTACACAGTTGTTTTTTTTCTTTTAACAGAAGGAGGGAGAAAAAAATCACAAAGTCCGCCTAGCAGTTGGAAATGGAGTAAGAAATGATGTATGGAGAGAATTTTTAGACCGATTTGGTGCTGTTAAGATCTGTGAGTTTTATGGTGCTACTGAAGGAAACATTTGTTTCATGAACCACACAGGAAAAATTGGATCTGTGGGACGTACCAATTTCTTTTATAAGGTGACTATTTAATTCTGTTTTACTTTGGAGGGAGTGCTGAAGGTAACCGTATTTCTCAGTTTGACCACAGGTTATAGGGCTGTAGTCGTAAGTCTAGGGTAAAATTTCTAATTCAGTTATTGCAAGTTTAATTTACCCTGTAATATCTTGGAAGCGGCCCAAGTATTGCAGATATTTATCTTAGAATTCAAGAGAGTCAAAAAGGTCTTCTCTTCGGAGAGTTTTGAGTTGATTCGGAATATCTGTCCAAATCTCTACCATATTAATGCATAACAGAGGAAGTTGGGTTTGTTTTAATACCTAAGAATTTACGATCAGTGAAATATACTTGCAAGTCCCGTGTCCTGACTGAGTGTTCTACAGATTATGTTTACAGCTGTTTTCAAAGGACATATTTGTATTGCATGCTACCATATAAACATTTAACATAAATAAGGATTAATGGTAATAAAATATAAGCAGAAATACCTTTAAGAGATATTTTATACCTATGCACAGTTAAGAAGAAGTAACTCAAACTACTTTACATCCGGTTTATTTCATTATTCCTAAATTTCAAAGAGAAAAAGTTAAAAATATAATCACTGTTTTTACATATGACACAGTATTTTCCAGCTGTGTTAATTAAAAAATTCCATGCCCCTTTATCTATCATGTCTGCTATATTTAGTTTGCACTCGTTTACTAAAACCAAAAAGACTCTGCAGGCAGGAACTGGAAACGCTCAGGAAGAGACCACAAGAGAGAACATGTTTTTCAGAAACCGTTCAGAGCTTGGCAATCTAAGCAGATTTACTCTGCTCATTTTCTAAGTACATGATCTATATAGTCTGTCGTAGGCACAGTGGATGTCTGGTTCTGACAAATGCCTGTGAGGAACTCCAGAAAGGTGCAGATGCACTATACAAAACTAGAAATCGAGAATTTAGGGAGTAGTAGCTGAATGAGGAACCTTAAAGCTCATGGTCACATTTGTTTCAGACTTTTCTAAGCCACATGCTTTAATTATTTTTAAATCTCTTTTTTTCTTGGAAATCTTATAAAAATTTTACTTTTGTTCCAAACCTGAGTAAACTTCTTTTCAGAATTTCACAACTTTTGACAGAGTTTTGTTGTAATTAATTAATCTTCTGGAAATGCCATGTATAGGTTACAGCAGATAAAGGACTAGGTCTGAGGTTATCTATTTATTGGCTTATTTTTCTGTATTTTTAAACAACCTAATGTGTGAAGTGTGATACTTTGCGTGTGTTAATATTGGCATTTCATATACCAATAAATACTGTTTGTATTTCCAAAAGGAAGATTAGAATTTTTTTTGCACGTGAAATGTGCTACTTATTCTTCTTTAATGATTAGACTTATGATTTGAGTTAGTCACTGCAAATGAGGAGGAAAAAAAAAAGCTTCTGAAAACTGCAATTAAAAACTAAATGCAGTTGTAACTGTATACTTGACCTCACTAGACATTTTTGCTATAATTTATGCATTATTCCAATTGGAACTATTTTAGTCTATGGAAACATCAATATAGTCTGTTAAGATAATTATGGATTGTCCCCCTGCTTACTCAGTAGAAATATGGAAAGACTATAAGATATTTTATGAACCGGAAAAAAGCCATTCATTGCATTTGGCTTGGCTTTGAAATCAATTCATATTCTGTCTTTTTCAATACTCTCTTTTCCCCAGAAATAAATCTACAGTAAGAATTCAGTAGTTATTTCTGTACTTTCTGTTCTAAGGAAAGTAACTAAAGCACATATTTGTGAGCGGGCTGAATATTTAGCTATTACCATTCTCCACAGGGGCCTGTGGTATATACTGGCTCCCAGCCCCTACATCAACGTATAACATTTGGCATTCAGTGTCTGTAGAATCTGAGAGAAGAATAAAGATTGTCACTGGAAACCAGATCCAATGTGGAGACAAACTACCTCGCTTTGATTACATGGGCATGGTGTGTCTAGCCAGGCTGGTGGGTGGATTATATGACCCATTTTATATGGGAATAGATCTGTCCCAAATATCTTCCAAATGGAGGAGTTTTCAAGTACTTCTCCAAAGCTCCATCAGGACTTTTTTTCAGAAGTAATGTTTTGACGCAGAGCACCTCGGGCTGCGTGGCTTCCCTCTCTTTGGAAGAATCCTTGTCCGTGAAACAGCATGGCATGTTATTTTTTTTTTTTTTATATATTACAGTAGTGACACATGTCATATTAAAAGTCCTCCAAAGAAAGAATCTCTAACTACTGGAGCTCTGATGCTATTGCCTATGCAGTCTCGCTGGAATGACCGTTCCTTCAATCGGCTTCATGCCACTTTCCAGTTTGCAGGAGCAGCCAGCTCCCCCATACGTTGAAACAGAGTAGTGTTCACGTGAAGCAGGGCTTGGTTAGATTTAGTGCAATTTCAGACAAGAAAAGCCTAGAAGAGGTGGAGGGAGAGTAAAGGAATGTTAAAAATATAGTGAGATATACTTTGTTGTATGTACATACATACATATGCATACATAGTTAAATAAATACTAAAGTTTCGGGACCTTCTTTTGTATGTGTTTTTGATTACTCTGCAATTGAGTATTGTAACACAAACTATCTCTGTATTATAATGATTTAGATAAGTTGATTTGGATTGAGTTCAGACTTGTTGTTTTTTTTAAAATACATTTTACATGTTTCAATCATCAGACAATGCATCTTGAAGTATAACTGTTGTTTGTTTTACGTCACTCTGAATGACATCCACTGGACATCTAGCAGCATGTAAAGGAGAGCAGCTTTATTTCTGTTTCTCTGACCCTTGAATGATCTGCAGTTGGTAAGGGAGACTGTCTACTGCTGGAAGCCAGAGAATGGCACAGAGAAGGCCCAGGCACCCAATTCCTAAGTGTTTCTGTCCATATAGTTGTCTGAGGGAGCAGAAAACATTACTGAAATCTGAGAAGAGGAAAAAAGAACTGCTACTACAATTTTTGAAACCTTATTCCCTTGACATGTGGGTCAATGTAAGGAGAGATCTTTAGACGTACTCTCTGGGGATTTTTGAAACACCTGTTTCTTGAATTGTGAAGAGAAAGAAAGAAAACTGAGAACGGGGGAAAAGAGAGTTGTGTGTTCATGTATGTGATATAGCAAAGGAGACAGAGGAAACATACTCTTTCTGTTGGCACGGTTGCACAGTCAGAATAAAGTAAATGCAGTAGAAAACTCCATGCATACAGATATTGAGAGACTCCAGAATAACAAGAAGTAGGTTCAAAGTATAAGATTTTTAGTGGGGAAAAAGGAAGAGAAACAGGAAGGCTTTTTTGCTGTAGGCAGTGACAATGGCACAGTAAAGGTGAAATACAGATAAAAGTTACAGCTATACTGTAAAAGACAAACTGAGCACCCAGAATGATGAAAGGGAGTTTTCTGTTATTAACTGCCAAAAAAAGGAGGGAGGGGAATGAACACTGATGATCAGTATTGGTGTTCTCCATAACACATTATTTTCATAAATAATTTGGAAGAGACAATAACAGGCGCAAGCTACCCAAGAGGAGTTAATGACAAAAGGGAAATAAGTGAATTTGTGGAGATAGCGATAATCCCAATTTGACATACTTCTAGTTAGTGGGAACAAATCGGTGACTGTTACAGCAGTTTGTCAGACATCCAAGAAGCCACTGTGTTTGAAGTTGCTAACTCAAGGCAATGTTCTTGTTTGCACTTGTTTTTCACACTACTAATATAAGAGGGATTGGTTCATGTGCTTGAAAGCGTCACTGTGATATATGAATAAATCCTTCAGTAAGGACGTCCAGCAGACTCAAAGAACAAAGCAGTAGAAACCTCTGAATAGCTTTTTAGCTGCAGCTCTTGAAATGTTTTACAAGAAGATATACAGTGTATGGATCAACATAATAAAATAATACATTGCTGTTTAATATTTACACTTGACATTCATATGTACATATGAATCATATGGTTAATATAAATCTTATACATTATATACCTATAAAAATTGATATGGGGAAAAAGCTGTAAGACTCTCAGTAGCGCTTATCAAATATGTGTATTAAATCTCTGTCTTGCACTTAAAAGAACGGTGTGACAACAGAAAAAACGTAATGGGAGAGCCAGACTGATGAGAGCCAAGGAAGCTTATAATAACGGCAAAAATAATCCATGATGAGCTCTCCTGAAAAACAGCACTGAAAAAATTCATGTTCCAAACTTTATTTATAAATGTAATTTTTTTATCATTTTGAATCTAAATATCCCAAGTATTGCAGGAATCTAAATCTCTCATACTCAGAATTGAGTGGTTTGGAATCAGCTGGGAGCTGAAAAATGTTTAAATCTTATTTGATGGAAAATGGAATACGATAACAAATTACAAATCATTACAACATATAAAACATTTTTCCTTCTTCACAACAATGCAGAATTGGTGTTATGCGCTTTTTTATATGCTTGTAGAACTTGAGTGGCAGAAGAGATGCATTTTAGCATAAAAGCAAAACTTGAGGTCAAGTTTGGCCAAATGTTAAGACCTTGGAAAATCGTATTCACAGGAAATATACTGATAAGTGTTAATCCAAGCACTGGAAGCACTTAAGTTCAGGGGGCAATAGACAGCAAAGACTAAAACTTAGTATCTGAAAATTAAGTGTTGTTGCTGCTTTTTTAAGCTTTTAATTTTGAGCTAAAATAATCTAAGGTACTTCAAGTATATTCCAAGATGTCGTCTTATAATATTATGTAATGATCCAGTTAATATCAAGCATAGTTTTAAAAGCTTTTTTGCTTAGTTTTGTTTACTTTAGCTAACCGAACTATGCAGAGGACCTGCACATCTACTCCTTTAGTGTAAATAAAACATTACAAGGATATTTTTAAAACCTAGTTAAGATATGATGTTACTGCACTCCAGATTTTTTTTATTTTCTGCCACTTCACTTTTTCAAGATGGTTGGCCTGATAATTGTAGCACTTTATTTTATGAACAGATATTCTCACAGAGAATGCAACAGTTTATCACCTCTAAAACAAATAAGACACTAAATAAAAAGCAATAGCTTATGATCTTTCCCTGATTAAGGTTCTCTGATCTTTCTTCATAAGTTTAAACTTTACGAGTTTCAAAATTATTTTCAAAACAATATTTAAGCTCACTTATTTCCAAACAAACTGTTTAAAAAATAAAGAGGGTTGTGATGTCATTGTTAGATAAGATCCAAGCAGTACAGTAATAGACAATGCTGTTGCAGTTCAGCTCGTTACAAGTTTCAACTAGTCAAATGCTGTTTTTTGTTTGCTACGTTTATGTGGTGCTTTAGGGAATAAATTATAGATAAAAATAGATGAACACTGTATGCAGTAGGCTGTGAGAATAATATGGTAATGCTTCAATAGTTCAGGCCCTGTTTTCCAATAATTTTAAATAATGAGATAAAACAGATGTATGCCTGTAGCTAGACTAAAAGCTTTGCTCTAGTGCTTACATTTCCTCATATACAACATGGAAAAAAAGCATAAAGACAGTTGTTTGCACAAAATATATGCTAGCATCCAGTTTCATTGTACAGGTCTGATGCGGTCTGTGCTGTTTTCTTCTTATTTTAATTGGATATTTGCATGACTATTATTTCAAAGAGCTAACTGGAATTAGCATAGTTAATACTAAAGTTGCAAGCGCTAAAAGATGCAAGCAGCAACATAAAGAGGAAAACTTCCAACAGTCTTTGTTAGATGATCTCAGATACTAAATTACAGCTTCTAAGTATTTAAAACATCTTACAAATAATACATCATACAAACTAATAAATTGACAAATAGCTATTAGGCTTTGAAGCAATGAGCAGATAAAAATGGAACGGGGCACTCACTTGTGCCCTAATCAAAAATATCAAAATAACGTTTCATTTTATACTATTTAATTGTTATTATTTATGCTTTTCACTTCACTTCATCTGTCATATAAAATCCATGATAGTAGTAAAGATCAATGTGTAAAAAGAAAGAAAGAACAGAAATTGAGTGGATGGAGCCAAAGAAGAGACCCCAAGAAAAAAATTACTTCCATTTATTATGACTACCTCCCGATCTGTTTTAGCAAGAATAGTGTAGTTCTAATTAAAATAAACTCTTTAGCTTTCAAATTCATGACTTCGCTAAACATTACAGTCTGTAGCTACGAAAAAATTTCCCTTTCACTTTATTAGAAAAGAGTGTCTGATTCTTGGATCATGACTCAAATTTTCACACTACAACCTTGTTCCTTTGACCAACAGTTAAAAATATCTTTTTGTTTCAGACTTTGGGGAGAAGTGAGATACAGTGGTGAATTTTGACAAGACTCAATAGATCAAGTCTGTCCATGAGGCTGAATCTGTGTGCTTAATGTTTGGCTTCAGGTTGCTATTTATTCAGACAACCTTGAGAACAAAATGATGTGATATAGCTGCAGCAGGATTTCAAATTAGGATGAAATCACTATGCAACTGTTCATCCTAATTAATTGCAGGAAAGAGAAGGGTTTTATGTTTTGGCATCCTACCCATTACTTTAGTCACCCTCATAACACCATCCTTCAATTACATCTCATTTCTTGCTAGTAAAAACTACAGGTGTATACTAGCAGCTTTTTATTTGTTTTTTTTTCCACTTGGTATGCCAAGATTTCTTCAGAAAAAGATAATTATATATCTTTGGTTAGTCCAGTCATGAAATACACTGCTGATGCACTTCTTTACAAAAAGGGAAATCAGAAAACTCTAGAGCTGGGCAAATTGAATCCTTGGGAAAATGACTGCAGACACAGCGGTCCATAGAGTATCAGTGATACCGTATCTGTCAATATCTCTTAGGTCTAATTTGGATTTATGTCACCGTGGAAAAATAAAGTAAATGATGCATATTTAGAGAAAAGAAATACTGTGATATCTAGTATCGATATGAATATGTTGCCTTCTCTGTCAGTTTACCTAGTGCCACGTTCTTTGTGAGCCTTATACAAGAGGGAAGCTAGCTGTATAACTCACGCAGTGTTTGCATTCAAGGGTTCACAGTATTTCAGAAGAAGGCAGAACTAACCCTGACTTGACTATGGAACGCGCACAACTACATAACCACATCAAATGACCTGGGAATACATATCGTTCTGGTGGTGCCGATGGCAGCGCTTTCCAAAATACGCAAATCTGAGAAAGTCGGAGGGAAGAACTGAGGCTAGTTAAGCAAAAAGGAAGCAGAAAGCCCTGAGAATGCTTAGCAAGTACAGATTGCTGCTGAGCAAACCCTCCTTGCAATGTTGCTTCCGACATAAGGCTATGCCAATCAGGTGAAACCTAAGCCTCATCGAGTGCAGTGAAACGGGACAGCAAATTATATTGCTGCTGATCTATCCAGAGATTTTTTTTCCCCCAATATTCTGTAATGGTGCCTCCAAGCACAGCTTCGGTAACGACCAGTCTCACTGAAACTATAAGCCTGACTTTCTATGTTATAAATTGGCATTTCTGAGTAGTCACAGGAGCTATGCTGATTAAAATCAGAAAAGAATCTGGTTCCAGAAGTAGCTTTGGGTCCCACAACTCAGTTGTATGAAAATGAACAATTACAAATCTGTGTTTTCACCGAGTATTTTTGAATGTTACAAGATCATTACAATGTTCTGACGTTGCTTTTCTCCAGCAAATTGTCTAAGTTTACGTACAGAGTATTTTGCAGTTTTAAATGAAACTGCATTCAACGTTTTGATGAGCAACAATGCAGTAAGAAAAATGGTTTCCTTGCTTATATTTGCCGCCACCAGATGGCACTGTGTATATTAATAACTGATGACCCTTTCCCCCTTTTTTAGCTTTTTTTCCCATTCGATTTAATCAAGTATGATTTCCAAAAAGACGAACCCGTTAGAAATAAGCATGGTTGGTGTGAGAAAGTTAAGAAAGGTAAGTATGCATTATAATAGGCTAAAATGGCCTTTTGATTTTAATACAAGATTTTTTTTAAGGAACCTTGCTATTGTGTTACTGTACTATGCCAACATCCGCTTTTACTTTTGCTCCTACAAAAGCGGTATGTTTCTTGCTCTAAGGCAGAACAGCATTAAGCACAGCTATGCTGACAGAAGAACTTATGAGATCCTTGAATATATTCACAGAAGAGTAATGTACGAAAGTGATGAGGTGATATTATCTCTGAATATGGAGGTAATGAGATTTGGGATTTGCAAAGGAGATTAACACATTGAGATGGTTGCCTAAAAGATCCACAAGAAAGACTGCTGGATTAGAGCAAATGTTTTTTGGTGAGAGATTAGTGTTTCTCTATTTAGTTTATTAAATATATATAAAAAGAGGTAAATTGATTATGGCTATTTTCAAAACACTTATCAGATGTCAGTTATCTCTTGATTAGACATATTTTCAGTGTTTATCACATACTAAGGTATCTCTATTGTACTATAGGAAGGTGCTAGCTGTAACTAATGCCAGGAAGCTGAAGTGAGACAAATTCGTGTTGAAGATCAGGCACACAGTTTTAACAGGGAGCTGAAGCAGATTTTTCAAAGGAGGTTGTGGATTTCTCTAGCAGGTTTTAATCAAAGCTGGACACCCTTCAGGAGAATATGATCCCCAAAAGGTTTAAGTGGGTAAAATTTTATAGGAAGTGATATGCAAGTATGTCAAACTGATCTGGAATTTTTTTTCCAGTTATACCAGTCAGTTTAATAAAAACTATTATCTCTGCCAAAGACTTTGCCTTACGCATGTCCTATATCCTTAGACCATCATGGCTAAGTGACACTACCACTGAACTAAATTTTTTTACCTTAAGCACTCCTGATTTATGGAAACAGGTACAGCTCTTTTATGAGGAGATGATCGTAAATTATTTGTGAAAATTCTGCATTCCTTTGTATATCTATTTTTATTTGTATGTATTTTCATTTGTATAATTCTTGTCTCTGATAAAGTAATTAACCTTACTTAAGTGAGCTACTTAAGTAACTCTTTAAGTTTTATTGTTCAGAACATGTTTCCAGAATGGTGAGGGGTTCATACAACTACTCTGCTTTCAGCAAACTAACACACTGATGCTGTACATGTATGACAGGTTTCGCCATCTTTCCATGTTTTTTGAGTAAACTTTATATTAAAATTTCTATAGTTGACTCTGAAAAGAAAGCAATGATGCTGTACCACATTAATGAAAACTCTTCAGAAGTGTTCTCAGAACTTCTGAAAGGAGATTAAGTAGGTATTTAATGCCTGGATTGAATACCTGCCTTAAAAAAAAACTTTTTAATTCAGAAAAAAGCAGCTGAAGCAGAGAGTCTTTACTACAAAGTCAGTAAGTTGTGGGGAATGAGGTATAATATTCACTTGGAGTGCATATGGACTTTGTGACAATAATGAATGTATGAGTGAACTTGACAAGAAGATGGAGGATAATTCTGAGAAACAACTGTTTACTGAGTCATCAAGAGTAATACAAAATATTGGTTTCTTGAGTTGGCAGTATTGTTGTGTCTCTTTGCACGGTCACTTTGCACCTAGAGGTGACTACACAAGTTGCAAAGCAGTAGAGTAAGTTGCTATTACAAGGTCACACATACTGAAAGAACCCTGCCAAATGTGGCTCGTGGTCTTTTAAAGTTATATGTAGCAAATTAACATTGAGGTAAAGTACAGGAAATATAAAATGGTATCTTATGTTTACATTCATTTCAACTTCTCTGTGTAGGTGAGGCTGGTCTTCTCATTTCCAAAGTGAATGCAAAGAATCCGTTCTTTGGTTATGCTGGCAATAAGAGACACACAGAAAAGAAGTTACTCTGTGACGTGTTTAAGAAAGGAGATCTTTATTTTAATACTGGGGATCTAATGGTTCAAGACCAAGAGAATTTTCTTTATTTTTGGGACAGGATTGGAGACACATTCAGGTATAATCATCATTTCTTATTACATTTCCTCATTAAAAAGCATAGACACACAGAATAGAATACTACTGTTTTATTTGTTTTCAGCCATGAGGGCTTGATTTATAACTATCTTGATATTGTTTATAACAATTCTGAAGTGGATGATAGGGGCTTCATTTTGTAAATAATGCACCTGCACAGCTGGCTGTCTAATTTTCAGAAGGTCTTGTAGGAATTATAGCTTTTTGAACATTCCTTCCAAGGAGCATACTAGCAAATGATAGATTTGTTGGGAACAAGGAGATTTGGATATGAAACTAGAGAAAAATATGCCAAATGCAGAAGAATAGTGATATTTGACACAGCTAGATGTATATCAAAATTTTGAAAACCATTATATGGGATTTTGATGAGCTTTCATTGTCCTTTAAAGTGATATCTAATATCCAGTCTCATTTCAATGACAAATGATGTCTTCTGGTGCTCAGACTACTAATCGAAGGTGACAAGTTGGAACAAATATAAGGTGTTATTAATCTAAAATGAATGGAGTTCCTACTAAAATTAATGTTTTTTAAGAGTAGATGTCCATACGGTTGCATATGATTAAATTATTTTTTCACATGCTTTAGATGGAAAGGGGAGAATGTTGCAACCACTGAAGTTTCTGATGCGATAGTAATGTTGGACTTCATACAAGAAGCAAATGTATATGGTGTATCTGTGCCAGGTAAGAACAGCTTTAGCTGTGTGGTCTTTTTTTCCTCAAGATTTTGTTATTAACCCTCATAACTTTTATTTCATGTTATAAACCTATGAATCATTTCTGACTGAGTCAGCTGTTTAATACCTAGCTAAAATGTAGCTGCAGATAATAAAAATACCAACAGATTGTGAATAAGAGTGAATCATGCCTTTTGATGTGTATTTTTGAAAAGGTATTTTTCCATGAATTTGTGATAGCTACATAATTTAGTTTAAAGCACTACTAAATTCACATCTGTGGAAAATCCACATATCCGTATGTCAGATAAAATCATGTCAGCAAGGTAAGATTTAAAGTTACTCTAAAGAAAAGTATATTCATTACTAAGTGAAGCAATTTTACTGTCTTAATTCACTTTTACTGAGCCTAATAAGCCATCTAAAACCAGGAATTTTTCAAAAACGAAGGACCAGATAAGAGAGAAAAGCAGCCAAAAATAAATAAATTATACGATAAGAAAGAAAAGAATATAATTTCTTTTCAATAATTATTTTTTAGTTAATAGTCATGCAGTAATCTGGGTCTGCTTTCCGTTCCGGCTAAATCCTCTTTAGAATATTCTTGAGTGGTAAAAGTTTTAAATTTGATAAAGGTGTCATTTACCCCTATTTTAAGACCAGCACACAAGAAAAATCATAATAAAGAAGAGGAACTGAAAAGTAGACTCAAAATTAAAATGTGAAGGTTTCTCATTTTATATACAACATTTACCTGCAGATTCTTACCCTTATAAAGAAATAACTGGACCAGTTTATGCGACACTGTCTTGATAATTGTACTTAAATGTGCACAAAACAATTTCACCACAAAAGTTGTAGCATTACCAGAAAAGGATTGTAAGGAGGCAATGGTAGAATGTCTCTGTTGTTATTGCTATCTGATGGTTAAAATGAGCAGTTATTTTGATTGCTGAAGTTTATTGTTTTTATAATATTTTACCTGTTCCAGTCTTTCTCATAGACCCAAAGTGGTGTCTCCCTTCCGAAACAAACCAGTTAGAATTTCTTGACGCTTTCGATCTCTCTCTTAGTTGACAACATTCAGATCCACAGCCTTGAGAAAAGATACTAGCAAGAGAGAAAAACTGAAACCAATGAGAGGACATAATTGGCAAATCTAGGAAAGAGGCTTAGTGCTCTGTTTCGAGAGAAGGGGATGGTACTGATGTTTATCAACATGTATTGATTAATACTGAACATAGATAGATGGTACTCCATTTATGCTTACCTGCCTAACTTGTTTATGGCATTATTCCTTAACTGTAACAGCACAATCTCCAAAAAGACGCAACATCATATCAGATATAAATATAATTTGCTTGTGTTACTGAAACTCAGAAAATTATATATTATTATCAGTTTATTAATGTGCTATAGCTCTTTTTTAAATGTAAGGTTGATCACAAACATCTAAATTGTATTAATCTTTAAAATTTTATGTCTCCCTTCTTTTCTTCCAGCTCACGAAGGAAAAGCGGGAATGGCCTCTCTCATTTTAAAGGAGAATACAACATTGGACTTGGAGAAAATGTATAAGCAAGTTGTCACCTATCTACCAAGTTATGCCTGTCCTCTTTTCTTAAGAGTCCAGGTAAACTGTGTTACCGCACCATACACATAAACATCTACTTCATGTGAACACAGAAATGGTTAAACAAATAAAAGTCAGTATGGCAAACAGAAAGAAAATGTTTGCTCACATATCACATAATTTAGTTTTTTTAGCTTTTAAGTATTTTTTTGAACTGGTCCTATTTACTATCTTTGTTAATGGAGTTTTGGAAGAGAAATTACATAAACATTTAATGAAATTTGCAGATTACGTTAAAGTGGGAGGAATTGCATATATCCGTAAGGACAGAGATCATACGAAAGAATTTAGGGAGATTAGAAGCACAAATGAAAAGGTTCAGATTAGTAAAATGAGAACCAGTGCATCTGGAGAAAATAATCTAAAATCCATTTTATTTAGTGGAAATGAGAGAGCAGAGAGGTAAAGCCAAAGCAGGAGACACACTGATAATGCACAACAAATGAGATGTTATTTGCAGTGTAATACAGCTGCAAGAAGGTTAAAGCGTTTTAAAAGGTATCATATTTATTGGTCCTGAATTAAAAATGTTTATTATTAGTGCCACCGTCATTATCATCAGAGTGCCTGTCATCCCTAACTGTGTACTAGTACCTTGCTGTGGTTGCTGCCCAGTTTGGAATAAAAAATTAGACCCTCCCCTAAAGAATTCCTAATTTAATATAGGAGACTATATATGGCTAGGAATAAAGGCAAGGGTATAGAAAATTGCTTATCAGCATCTTAACTTTTGATAAGTGTTTTGGAAACATCATGACAAAGGCAAAGAGCAAAATGTTTTTGAAGATGTTTATGAAGGAAGTCTCCTCATTCTGAGGGGAAGATGAGAAAAAAATGCTTGTTTGAAAAGAGAACACAGGATATGTTAGCACTCTGGGCCAATCAGAGATTGCAATTGAAAAAACGTATTTCATTACGTCTAGGAGGATACCCTTTGCAGTAGCATTCTGCTATGAGCAAGCAAAAATACACAGAATGTTGCAGCAATCAGTTAATGAAATGACGAGAACCTACACTAGATAAATTGCTATAGAGATGTACAGAAAAGCCTTTATCACAGAGATGCTGTGCAGAAGGAAGCCAAATCTTTGATGCATCTGGAACTTGGCTTAGACTGAATTTGAATTAAATTGGCTACATTAGATGAGTAAATGGTGGTATTTCTCTCATTAATCAGGAGAGGAGCAGGTGGAACTTCAAGGAAAAAAATGGAAATTAAAAACCCATTGACCTTGATTTGATATGTAATCATACATTAAAATACGTCAAAAAGTTTTTAGATCAACTAAAGCAGGTAGATCTGGATTAGATACAACTCTGAACTGTTGGAGATGATACTTTATTTTCTGTTTGCAGAGTAGACACATGTATGTAAATGTAAAGGTAGAAGAGAAGATGACAGAGAGGGGTCATAAAGTGTGCGGGAGAGGATAGGAGGATAAGGGGAAAAGAAGCAGAAGGCAACAAACTCTCAGAAGTCCAGGGCGCATGGGGTAGTGTCAAGAGCAGAATTAATGAATGCATCGAGGTCTGCTAACAGCTCAAGGCAATAAGCAATGCTAGCACTAATACTGCGTAAGAAAGAGGCCATTGGGAATTTGGCAAGAGTGTTTAAGGAAGAAATGGAGTGCAACAGCAGAGACTTAACTGGAATGATCTAGAATGACAGTGGAGCTGTTCAGTCCAAGATGGATCATAAATCATATGCTCAGTGACACTTGAGGTGAAAATGAAAAGAGGTGTTCGCTGGAGAGGTTAGTGGTGCCTGCGGCAGAAATTTTTGACGGAAAAGGCTAAATCTTATTTGTTTTGAAGGTAGAAAGGACCAGGCAAGTGTAGGAGTGTAAGAAGAAAGGAGTAGGGAGAGGAGTGGAATTACTAGAGAAATGGATGTGTTAGAGAAACAAGGCAGACAGAGTTGTCTGTTGCTGTGACAGAAGACAAGAAACAGGAGCTGTACTAGACATGACTGCAATGAAAGGAAAGGGGAAAGAGAGAGAGGAGTTGTATATTGTTCAAAGTGAATGGAAAGCAAGACAAAGTCTAGAAAAAAACCTTGAAGAGCAAAAAAAAAAAAAAAAACTCAGTGGAGATGCCTCCCACTACTTTTCCCAAGGGAACATGCTGACATTAAAAAGAACAAAACATTACAAAATGTGTGGTGAAGATCAGTCTTTATTTGGACCAGGCTGAGTGGTCTAATATGACTCTTTCAATCTCTTTTTTAAGGTGACAGTAGTCATGGATACAGAGAAATCTATGAATTGTTATCAAGAGCCAGTTCCTGATTATGATAGTTTTTACTCTCTCAGATTCCTTCTGATGTGTGATTTTGTAATGTGCACGAATGAAGAAGCTAGGTTGTCCTGTGCTGGATGGGGATCCACTGAAGACTTTGATTTGCAGAAAGTGACAGGTTGCAACCTGTTTCCACCATATTTCCAGCTGTTGTTCCATAGCAGCACAAAAGTTCAGGGAAAAACAAGTGTTTTCCAGACTAATGAGAGTAAATAGAATTACTCTTATATCAAGTAAGACTTCTTAAAATAAATGTGAATGTGAGCAAAACAAAAGGAGCTCAGTCCATCTACTGAGTAATAAATCTTTTGTTCTTCCACAGGAAACAATGGAAATGACTGGAACTTTCAAACAACAGAAATTTCGATTGGTGGATGAAGGTTTTGATCCATCTACAATCACTGATCCACTTTATTTTTTAGATAGCTCTAAGCAAGCGTACGTCTTGTTAACCAAAGAAGTACATGAGAGGATCTTATCTGGGCAAATGAAACTTTAATTAACCTAATGCTAGGTTATTAAGAGACAGTCTACATGAGCTACTGTGCAAGAAGCAAGAACATTAATCACCAGTATTTATATATAGTTATCCAAAATAACATTTTATATATTTGATACTTAAATTGAGATGTCTCTTGTATCTTTCCTCATTTGATCATTATTGATCACTAATTATTTTCTACCTCTTGAGACCAAATATAACTAGATGACCTGTTAAACATGTCTGAGATCTTTTTTATCTTAATTTTGGAATATAAATGCCTCACAGTTTTTCTGTGTCCTAAATAAAAAATGAGGGATATGCAGAATGATATGTAGAAAAAAAATCTCAGAAGATGAGAAATATGTGGTGATGAAGGTTATTAATTTGAGAGAGAGAAAATGTACCATTAACGTTTCTTTCATTGTAGTTTCCACTTCATATATATATATATATCCTTATGAATATATATTTTAAGACATAAAGACTTGATAAGTGGTTGGAAGAAAAAACAACCCTTATGCAGAGGACTTCGATGGAACACAAGATGAAAGAGAACAAAGCAGAAAATGCCCCCCAAACAACTCTGAAACTAAAAGATTTATACCAACATCACTGCTGAGACTTTTTGTCATAATCCACGTTCTTTCTTTTATTTGTAAACTTGCTGCTTAGATTGTCAAATTCTGAAGACAGGCCATACTTCTATAATTTGTGTAGTACCAGATCAGCAATAGGCAGAGACAATGTGTATACTTAAAGGGGAAAACAGCTCTTATAAAAAGAATGATTAAAACAATAATATTAGCACTTTGTATCATACATATTGACTGACAAATAGCTTCCTCACTCTTGTTAATGACTGTTAGGGATTATTATTTTATGGGTACTAAAATATAGCAGAAATTTACAAATTCTAAATCATGTTCTAATATACTACTTTTAAAAAGTTTTAAAATAAAGTGTAAATTCATTTAAAACAAATTCCACAGCGTCTTGGTTTGATTTAAGTCTGATTGTATAAAGTCTGTTTTCTGGTTTGTTCCAATACACTACTCACGCAGTAAAAATATAGGGACAATGTCCTCCTTTTATGGATTGTGATGCTTTCACCAGTTGCCCTAACAGCCAGAAGCAATATCATAGAATACTGCAAGGGAGATTCTGTTCAACACTGGCCATCAGAAGTCCCTTTTCCAGCATGACTGTGATATGAAAATGGCCTGAAAGATCAGGACGTAATTACTTAAAGCTTTCTTTTTTTCTTTCAAATTTGTTTTTAAACAAGATGTTAGAACTTTCTTGAAGTTGTGTCAGCTCTTAATTTTCTGTTTATGATTTTGCCCTGATTTTCCTTAAAAACACCAACCAAGGATGCAGAGAAACTAAAAAGATGTTTGAGAGTGTCACCATACTGTCAAGTCTCTAAGATGGAGAAGAATGTTTCTGTGTGGGGAGGCTGGGGGAAGAGGGAGGAAAGAGCACTAGAGGAAGAAAAATGCATACGTGCTATCTTTCATGCTATCTTTCATGCTCTAGCTGCTACTAGGGCAGCTGACTGGTGATTCCCAGCTCTGCAGTGTATTATAGCAGCAGGAGGACTCTCCTAACTTAACCGGCTTGAGTAGCCTACAAGTATTTGCCCCCCAGCTGCTACAACTAGAAAAATACAGAATTCCAGCAACTCCCTTTTATTCCTTAGTTTAACCTTGACAGTCTGGACAATCTGCCTATTTTCAAGGCCTACTAAAAGAGTTCTGTCCTGTACCCCATCTCCAGAGGTAGGACGGTTGTGATGTCAAGAATATAAAATAGGAAGACCTTTAGGGCTGTAGGCTCTGTTCTTCCTAGAGGAGTGTATTATTTGTAGTTCAGTAATTCTTTTAGCAAGTAGGTTAGGAGCCAGCGGATGAACCAAAGCATGTTACAGCAAATTGTCACATTTCCCAAGGAGATGTAAATTGTTGAACTGGCACTGAAGTTTGGCTGAATGAAAATGTTTATGCAAAACATCCAAGTAGGCCCTTACTTTAATAAAATAGCTGAAATATTTGTACCACCCTACCCTCATGCCCAGATCAACATGCAGAATGGGCTGAGAGCTTGAGCGTTACCGCAAAACCATGTGGCAGTAGTTGCCCTGGAAGTTTCATTTTGTGTGGTAGTGGGGAAAGAAGCAGCTGAGGGTGGCTGGGGTGCAGCTGAGAGAGCAGCTGGGGTGCAGCTGGGAGAGCTGCTCTGCTAACATCACATATTAAAAAAAAAGAGAGAGATTAGAATAAACAAATGTAATCTCCCATTAGTAAACTACTGATTGTCTTCTTTGGTGTACGCATAAAAACCTAATGATGTCACTGATTCAAAATGCCAAAGTGGAGGTTTAAACTTTTAAAAAAAGTACTTTTGCCTGTCAGAAGCTAAAAAGCAGGACTGCTCTTAGGTTTAGACAGAATGGCATGCACTCTAGATTGCAATGTTAATGACATGGAAAGCAATGAAATAAACTTAATACGTCTAGATAATTCTATTGTTGTTCTAAATACCTGAACACAGTGTAAGTGAAAAATACTATACCTCTTAAAGATTGCTATTATCTGCATTTCATAATGCTAAATTTTGACACCTTTCCTGCACTTTTAAAACTGAAGTTGTTAAAGAAACTGCCAATTAACAGTGAGCATGATATATGCCCCATGAGACACTAGAACATTGGGAACCGGAGGTGACTAAGCCAATCAGATATAGTGAGATCCAGGAAGGAAAGAGAAGGTTTCAAACTCTTTACTGCCTTCAGCTAGAGAGTAGCACTTTTGGCTATGTAAGGTTTCCTAAGAAAGTGGAATGGAGTCTTCAGGCTGTCAAAATTCTTTTAAAAAACTGGAATCAAGACATTAGCTATGAAAATTTGAACTGTACAACAGGTTTTATAAGTGGATCTTATCTCTGTAATAGCCCAAATCAAACTTGGATACAAAGATTATCATTTCGGAAAAGCCTGGATTAAGTTCTAAAGGCACAGCACATTTTGAAGCTCTGCTGCTTAGAACGCTTCCTGTTATAAATACCATTACCATCTTTTTATGTACTTGTAAGCATATCTGTATCTTGTAACAAATGACATGTACGTTCCTGCTTTATTTGAGGACATTAAATGGCTGAATTAGGAACAAGCGTTCCTCATCTTTGAGGCTAAATAGCTGAAGGAAACACAGCTGCTACAGGCATTGTTTCAGTGCCTAATTCAAGAGCTCAGATGCTTAGAGGAATTCACAGATCTCACTTCGGGTGGTTTGACAGCACCTTATAAAATGTACAATGAAAGTTATATGCCTGAGAATAACATCCACAAAAGCCAGCTTGTAGAGCAAGAACTGCCTAAATCAACTAGTAGGGAATAGTGAGGAGAAGATTATGTCTTAAATCATACTTCTGCCAGCACTTAGAAATCTAATTCTAGTTAGCTGGGAGCACACAGATATTTGTGTGCACTCCTGGAATTACACACAAAATTTTGTGCAAATGTTCGTTAACTCAACAAATTGCTGACAAAATGATGGCAGTACGCATTCAGCTCATTCTCTATCCAAGCATTTCATTAGAATTAAATAAGAGGTAGGAGAGGAAAATATTTACTGAGGATATATGAAAGCACTGTAATCAGTCATATACCACTGTCGTAACAAGGCCATATTCCCCCGTAAGATTTATAAAACCTCTTTGTAGTATAAGCAAAAAGATTCCATTTCTATTTTGCTGGCCAAATCCAATTTCTGTGAAGAGAAGCTTACATCTATACAAATACCTGTAATCCGCCATTAGCAAACTGGTTTTGTTGGGATATTCTTATGTCCACAAAAACATTAGGCGTGACTCACCGTTAGTCTAAGTCCAGTCCCTTTTATACTTGGATATCTCTGCTACAATGACAAATCCCTATGCTATTTGTCAGGTACATTCTGAAATAGCTTCAGGCAGTAAGTGCTGTTCAGATACACAGATTATTTTTAAAGACCTTTCGGCTTCCTCTTGTGTTATATAAAAATTAAATTTCATTAGAGAAATGTGTCATACGAGAAAGCAAAATGTTGTCAAAACAACAGCCTAAGATGCCTCACTTTGTTCAGCTATCTCATAACATTAAATGAAAATCAACCCTCCCTAAAATGTTGATCCAGTATTTTTCTTTAACTTTTCTACATGTCCTTTTTTTCTTGTGACCTATGTAAAACAATCTCCGCCTTGCTTCAGTGACCAAAACCAGACAAGTGACCAGAGTCAGAAAATGAGTTCTCTGGAAGCAGTTTCCAAGACTGAATGAGCATCAGTGAATCGTTAGTAGCTTTATCAGATGAGTCTGTATTTACACAGGCTGGCAGTGGGTGACAACTACCCTCATGTTAGCTACGCCATACACATTCTGTTGGTACTTCCCACAGTTATGTTCAGAATGTGTGTACTCAGTGATCTGCAGAATTTCTACAGAAATCATTCCTTCTGCATCCCATGAACAATAGTATCTCACCTTGTTTCACCAGTATCGTTTCTTTGATTAATAAAGCTGTTGGGTATTTTCAGTGCAAAAGTCTGCAGAGCCTTGAAACTGTACAGACAAGGTGATGTAATATACTAAACAGCATACAGTCTACTGAATTTAGTATACTGAAATAAGCGTGTATGACTCGTTTTTATGTCATTTTATTGAAAAAAATAGTACTAATTAAATGTTTCTTAAGCTGCAAGAGAATTGTATGTTTGCTGTGACATTAAGACTAGACTCACCCAGAAACATAGTTCTTTGAAAAATATGTGTCCGTTTTCAAAACTGTAAAGTTTTTTTTTCCCTTTTACTACAAGACAAGTTTTTCCTAACAACAAGAATTTGTAATACAACTGCTAATTCACACATCTGCCAACCTTAGTCATAGCTGAGTTACTCTCATAAGTTCTCATAAGAGAACAAGATTCTCATAAGTTCTCATAGAGAACAGATCTCATAGTTCTCATAGAGAACAGATCATTAAGTTCTCATAGAGAACAGATCATTACCACTAGCAAGCTGGATGGGTCAAGGCCATAATTCTGCTGTCAATATTGGAGTTCTGCTTTCCCTTCCTTTTCTAAATCCCAAATAATGCTTATGCTCATTCTGCTCCCAAGCATTACTAAAAAGAAAAAAGGAGAGGAGGATTTCAATTATTCAAATTCTTAGTAACACTGATGATGCCATTTGGTGGAACTCAAGCTGCACAAGGAATCATTTTGGTCCCACACATCCTAGAGTATCCTTCTGTATTTACATAGCCTAGTTCAAATACTGATTTTTTTAAGTTCTGACTTTCAACAACTATCCATTCTACAACGCGTATTTGAACCATCAGTCACACAAACCCTATGCCTAGTAGTAAAATCCCTGAAACTAAGAACTTTCAGGATAAAAAACACTTTTTTTTGCTTCGGGATTTTTTTTTTAATCTCTTGCTTTATAAAATGGATGCTACTCACAGCGCTAAAGCCCACCTCAAGAAACAGTTTTTATACTTACCAAATGTCTCAGACACATCTGTGTATTTATTTTCAAAAACAGGCCGATTGCCACTCAGCCCTGCTGTCGTGAATGCAATCTGTTAATTATGGAGGTGTTGCCAGACCTGGAGCGATTATGAGACTATTCATTCTGTTCCCTCAAAGATATTGGCAAAGATTCTAGTTAAAAGTATCTTTGCTCTGGACCTCTTTTCTCCTACATTTTTTTTCTCCATTAAAAAGGTCAATCTTTCTGAAAAAGGAGGCAAGAGAGAATTCTTTATTTAATGCAAAATCACTCATGGATTAAGACTCCTGGAATTAAACCTACAAAACTCATGAGGAATGAAAACCACATTTCCTTCAATAGCTGTTAACGCAGAGGTTTGTCA